GCGACGAATAAAAATCATGGCCTTTGCTCGATCTTGAGAGGATGAACTGCTTTCTTCCTTGATGGTATCTCCAAGATTTGCTGCTTCCAGATGGATCTTGGTATCCAGTACCCATGTAAGGTAATTCTTTCCAGTAATGTCCAGGGCAGCAAAATCAAGCTTTGCCAAGTTTGCCATTTTCTTTTCTGAAAGAAAAATGAGGTGTGTAAGAACTTGCAGTAATATGTGTACTGGAGAAATATATTGTTAGAACTTCTGGTTCTTACAAAATTTTTTTTTTTGATCTTCAGGCCAAAATGATAAGTACTCGAAACTTCAGGCTCGAGATTTACACAATTAATGAGAAGGGCAATTGTACCGCACCATTCTCATCGAAATAAGTATAGGATGGGTGATTATCCCGCACTACTTTAAACAGCAGGAAAATTTAAATATGTAGAGCAAGGTGGACGATTATACCGCACCACCTAAAATTGCGATAAAATTTAAATATGCAAAGCAGGGTGGACGATTATACCGCACCACCTAAAATTGCAATAAAATTAAATATGCAAAGCAGGGTGGAAGATTATACCGCACCACCTAAAATTGCAATAAAATTAAATATGCAAAGCAGGGTGGACGATTATACCGCACCACCTAAAATTGCAATAAAATTAAATATGCAAAGCAGGATGGGTGATTATTTCACACACCACCTAAAATTGCGATAAAATTAAATATGTAAAGCAGAGTGGGTGATTATTTCACACCACCTAAAATTGCGATATAAAATTAAAGATGTAAAGCAGGGTGGGTGATTATTTCACACCACCTAAAATTGCGATAAAATTAAATAACGGGAAAATTTAAATATGCAGGATAGAGCGGGCGATTATACCGCTCCACTTAAAATTTGCAGTAAAATTAGATCTGCAGTCCAAGATAGGCGATAGAACCGCACAATCTTGGATTGCATAAATAATCAGTGGGTTAGTAGTCAATATCTACACCAAACAAGAAATCAAAGATATAAGTGACAGTTAGTTGGAGAACTAGAAGTAAACATGGTGCAAACAGTTCTTCGCGAGGGTATACCCAGCAATTGAGGGAGAGGAAGAAGAAGAACAGAAAAAACCTTAGAGGAAACATTTTTTTTTTTTTTTTTTTTCGGTGAAAGGAAATGAGAAAAAGATTAGAGAGTCGTGCTGATAACGTGTTATAAATAGGCAAAATTTATAGAGAGATAACCTTTACTCGGTGAAGGAACGAAGCAGTTGCAGAGTAATATACCGACACAAGCTGTTGCAGAGGAAGTAATGTATATTATTGCTATTAGATATATTTCTCTTTTCTTTCTTCTTCTCATTCACTAATCTTTGCACAATTGAATTGCTCTATTTATAGAGCTACTTCAATGGAAAATTACAAAACATTACTATTTAGCTTATGAGTATATAGTACACATGTGATACTTTACTATACACATTACTATACACATGTGGGCAAACATACCCATCATTTACAACAATATTTATTTTTATTTATAAATAAGAGGTTTTAGGTTTGATTTTTTTCAATGACGAATTTGAATCACATTATTATTAGCACATTATGAGGTTAAATCCACCATCTTTCCTTTTAGTATAAAAAATATCGTTTGTTCAAAAAAATTAAAAAAATTTAAAAAAATTGCTATGTGTGAAGTGTCGTATTTACTTTATTTAAATTTATAGTTTAATGTTGCTCTAATATCGCCGTCCTTGCTCTCCTCCAAAACCGAAAACGTAATTTAGAAATTTTTTTATATTAAAATCTTTGTCGTTATCCAGTTAACAAGATGATGAAATCGTGGATTCTATCCCATTCTGAAGATGATGTAAACTAAATAAAGTGATGACATGTTCATTTAATTCGAATTGAAGAAATTATGAATAGATAAGATCGACGTAGTACGAAGTTGAAAGATAAATCATTGAATAACCTAAAGTCTGGAATTTACAAGTATTTTTAAAGAAATCCCAAATTTTTTTATTTGATTAATTGATGAAAGATGATTACAACGAAGCAGTTAATGGCTTTAAATAAACGGAGTACAACTCCCTGAGAATAACTCAAAGCGAATAACGGAAGGTCTAATTTTTATTATAGAAATTAACACGTAGTTTGGAAGCCTAAACGGTTTCGGATTGCTAAAATCTATCTTATGTCACAACAAATTAGTGAGTTTGAACCGTGACATCTTTCTCTTTCTGAAGAAGTATGATAGGCCCAAATCAGAGCTCGGACACCAAATTTGTAAATTCTCGTCGTGTCTTTTTGTCTTCCAACGGTTTATTTCCTCTTCAATCTACTCGGCTATTTGTTCTACATCAAATATGTGAATGAATCATCACGAACTAAACAATTTTCCGTTAGTTGCTCGATATATCAATGAAAACAATGCTCATACTTATTTCATACTAATTCATTCGTTGTAAATAAATTCTAAAATATATTTGCATGCTTGTTAACTTTGAGGTCATATATCTCAATGAAGAATTTTCATACGAAACCAGGTTGGAACGTGTATAACTGGACGCATAAGCGTACAAATCAACACACACAAGTTCCATACATCTTTCGGAAACTGGTCCCAAATAGATACTTCATAGACTTCGAACACACATTCTGTCTTACAGATTCTTGCATGTTCAAGGCAGTTGATATGCAACTTGGAATTGAAAGATCAATTGCATTGCATGTCATGGAAATTTTTGCTTGAGAAGTTGAGAGGTTAACCAAAATGAGGGGACCTTTCCACAGCTTGAAACTGAAATCTGCTCATTTGCATGCAAAGTTTGATTCTCCATAAAGGAATCATAATTATCGGTCAATTTTTATTAAGTAGTAATTGACAAGGATTATGGAAGAATGTATTAAAATGGAATAGTGTTCGACTTTATCTTCCCATTGATCTTTTTTTTTATTTTTTTGGTGAAACGATAGCTATTTTATTAGCGTCTTAAGAAAAAGTACAAAGTTCAAATGGGGCAAATTCGATTAAATTTGAAGGATCTTCAAACAAAAAGGGTAGTGCTATACGCATTCATTTTTACTTCTCGCACACAACTGTCAAATTTCGGCCTCCGATCGGGTAACACTATCCAACAAAAAACAAGGCCAACTTGGGCAATCTACTAGCCACCATATTGGCGAATCTTTGAGTGTGACAAGCATGAGAACACATTTAGCACTTCAAAACGAAAATATGTTATCCGTAATATTCAAAAGATAAAATTTATTTGAACTTAATCAGGTTTGTTTGATCAATGTTTCCCGCTCCAAAAACTAAAGTTGCTCGAAGCATACATCGGCACAACGGGCTTAAAAATATCTAGATTGGATTCAATTATTATTTTTAGGGTTTGTATGGTATTTTATTTCTTCATTTCTTTCGATTTATACCAATCTTAGCAAAAAAAAAAAAAACCTAATTACTTCCTTCTGAAATTTGCTTCATACTCGATTTATAGAGTAATTTTATTGGGTAATTTTATGGAGATCATCTATCAAACCACAATAAACCATATGATGTGGTTATTGAGATTCAAATTAAGTGTTTAAAAACTCACTTCTTCCCTATTGATAACAAGTAACATGTTTACAATTTTGTTCTAAAAAATTATTTTACTGCATTACCCATCTGTAAATACACTATTGATCCGAAAATGAGACAGTAGTGCGATCCACAGACTCATTTTTACTTTTCACACCTCTTTCAATTTTCAACCGTCAATTCAAATGAATTAAAAGAGATCAACGAATAAAAATTAACAAAATGTAAAAGAAATCCACAAATTCTCTTTCCAATGAAAAGAAGAAATCCAATAAATTCTCTGAGACCATCTCCAACCGAAGAGTCCAAAGGCTCGAAAATAGGCCGAAAATCGTCTCCAACCAAGGGCTAGGTCAAAGGGCTTGTGGGCTCCACTGGACAAAAAAGGGCCAAAGGGCCAACCGGGATTCCCAAATGAGCCAACCGGCTTGGGGCGGGGGCACATGTGACGTTATGATGACATCATATTTGATTTTTTATTTTTTATTTTACATTAAGTAACATTAAACAATATTAAACAACACTAAATAACATTAAGTAACATTAAACAACATTTTTTTAACAACATTTTTAAAGAGAACTATTATTAGCACTCTAAAAATTTCATTCTACGCTCCTCATAAATGTAATTTTCTTTATAATTATAGAAAATTTGGAATGCAAAACGAGATTTTTGGAATGCGAATAACAATTTTCTTTTTAAAAACATTTAACAACATGAAAATTATTGACAATCCATAACATAAAATTATTGAGGTAATTTAATTTAAGTAATCATAGTATTTCAATTAAAATAATAAATTATGTTTGATCATATAAAATTTTAACCCTCGGTTGAAAATGATTTTTTTATGATAGGATTATACTTAACCTGGCTCTCGGTTGGACGATTGGAGATGGTCTGAATCCCTTGAAACCGTACGATCAGTCCACCGAAAAGCAACACATGTACTATCATACCCGGCCCCACAAGTTACCCAGATTCCGCAGCAGTAAAATTTGCCACTCCCACTCTCCAGGGGCAGCGGTGGCGTGCATTTTCCAGGGTCAATTTCGTCATACAAACATCAAACCCAGCTTTTGACCCATCCGTGGGCTCGAGAGATTCGTCCATCAGACCGGCATAGAAACTGTAAAAAAAAAAAAAAAAATTAAAAAGCGACGGTGAGAAATGCCATGTCATCACCCAGTCCCTTATCTCCACGTCACCACACCGTGGACCAATTTCATCACACGGTCCAAGATGGCCAAGAGTCCACCGATCCAGCGGCCCAAATTACGTGTTCTAGAGTATTCGAATCAGATACACAGAAGCAAGAGAGAGAAAGAGAGAAAGAGAGAGAGGAGAGAGAGGGTGAGGTCAGATTTTAACCAGGGTTAGTTTGATTAACCGGGCTTTACGCGCTGAGTTAAAGATCGTAGCGTGGTCTGGGCGGAGACTGGTGTGAGAGAGAGAAGGCAAAGATTAGTTACAGACTCAGAGAGCAAGAAGAAGAAGGACGGCGACGCAGGAAAACCGGCGAGGGTTTTTGTGAGTCGACTCGGACGATTCTCCCCCTTCCTCCCCTAAACCATTCGCATCTCGCGCGGTCCGTTAAGCCTCCGTTATTCTCAGTCAAATTTCAAGGAGGCGCGCGCCAAGGATTCCGTCTTGTTGTTTTAGCGGCCGTTCTCGTTTCGTCGTTTCGGAGCGTTTTGGTGGATAGCTCTTCCAGATCTTGCATTCTGGTGAGTCGCCGCCTCTGATTGCGATGTTTCCCACCTCAATAATGTCCAGATTTTGTTCTTCATTGTCATTTGCGATTCAATGTTATCATTTTATCGTTAATTTTGCGTTGTCGTTGATATTCTCCTTGTAGATCGAGTCGAATCAATGCTAGGGTTCTGTAATTTTGATTTGGGGACGGAGAATCGGAATTTTATAGGATTTGGTTTCAGTTTCAGTGATTCGGATTTAAAAAGTGTTCCGTATCGAATTTAATCGATTTGTTTTAAGAATATTTGGGTTTTGAGAAACTGTAAAGTGCATTAATCTCAAATTTGTGCTTTTGGTGCTATTGGATGCTTGGAGCATTAAATCAATGAATTAGTGTAAAGTTCAATTGATTAAGTGAACTGATTTCTGTATTTGACCCACTCTTTGTTCTAAGGTCTCTTTTCTATGGAAAAATAATGAATTTAACATCCGGCTGTTACGTTTCGATGCAGAATCTTTATCTTTTGGTAGAGGATGGCAGTGGCTTCTCACTCAATGTAGCATTGAGCTCCAGCATTAACTTTTCGGTCTCCTGTTCGTTAGGTGATTTTGCTCACGGAATCTTGGTGGGTTTTGGAAGTCCTTCTCTTATGATCGTTTTGGAATCGAATTTTCTACTCATTCCATCATTGGCTGCTTTGGAACTTGGCAACGTTCGGGAAGGGGAGAAGATCTCTTCTACTGCCGCCTCTCTTGCCGGCCTCCTAACTGTCACTTCCATTTGCTTTATGTCTCGGAAGCTGGACAGCCCAGTACAGACCCAGATGGCAGTGGCACTATTTAGCAATCCGCTCAGTGGGGAGTACCATGGAAGCAACAGAATGGAAAGGAAGCAGCACACTGGTTGGAGGCGCGTTTTTGTGCAAACTGAAAGTGGATGTGTCTTGGGGATGGATTTGGATCGCAGTGATAATGTCCATACTGTGAAGAGAAGATTGCAGATTGCTCTCAATGTCCCAACTGATGGAAGCTCGTTGACATTTGGGGATGTGGTGTTGAAGAACGATCTGAGTGCAGTTAGGAATGACTCCCCTCTTCTTCTCACAAGGAACCTTATGCATAGAAGTTCATCAACTCCATGTCTCTCGCCTACTGGAAAGGATCTGCAGCAGAGAGATCGGAGTGGTCCTATAGAGATATTAGGGAACTCGGTTCGGTTTACTAGGACAAGACCAGTGGTCAAGGATATGGTGAAGGCCATCAAGATGGGGGTTGATCCAATTCCTGTTCATAGTGGGCTTGGAGGTGCATACTATTTCAGGAACAGCAGAGGTGAGTGTGTTTCAATAGTGAAGCCAACTGATGAAGAACCTTTTGCGCCTAATAACCCAAAAGGTTTTGTCGGTAAAGCTCTTGGGCAACCAGGTTTGAAGCGCTCGGTGCGAGTTGGGGAGACTGGATTCCGAGAAGTCGCAGCTTTCCTGCTTGACAAAGATCACTTTGCCAATGTGCCTCCCACTGCCTTGGTGAAGATCACTCACTCTATCTTTAACATAAACGATGGGGTGAACGGGAACAAGACTCCCCAGAAGAAGCTGGTTAGCAAGATTGCATCTTGCCAACAATTCATACAACATGATTTTGATGCCAGTGATCATGGGACATCCAGCTTCCCCGTAACTTCTGTGCATCGTATAGGGATATTAGACATTAGGATTCTTAACACTGACAGGCATGCAGGGAACCTTTTAGTTAGGAAACTGGACGGTGTCGGGATGTTTGGTCAAGTGGAGCTCATTCCAATTGACCATGGCCTTTGTTTGCCAGAAACTTTGGAGGACCCCTACTTTGAGTGGATTCATTGGCCTCAGGCTTCTATTCCATTCTCAGATGATGAGCTTGAGTACATAGAAAAGCTTGATCCGCTTGAGGATTGTGAGATGCTGCGAAGGGAGCTTCCCATGATTCGAGAGGCTTGTCTCAGGGTTTTGATTCTTTGCACCATTTTCCTGAAGGAGTCTGCTGCATATGGTCTCTGTCTTGCTGAAATAGGTGAGATGATGACTAGGGAATTTCGCAGTGGCGAGGAGGAACCTAGTGAACTGGAGGTAATTTGTATGGAGGCAAGGACGATGTTAGCAGAGAGGGTGGAGGTGCTGTCCCCCAAGGCTGATTCGGGAGATCAGGAGTTCCTATTTGACATAGATTGTGAGGAAGCAGAGGAAGACTGCACCTTGAAATCTGCAGCAGATGATTATCTGACCAGGGCATCATCTTTTCCATTTGCAAATGGGAGTGGGCATGGCCGCTCGCTTCTCTCTAAACTTGAAGAAAGCATCGAGGAGGAAGAGGACAGTGAAGTGGAAGAGCAAGGGGCATTAGCAACTCTGCCAACTCTGGAAAAGGTCCCAAGCGTTTCAAAGCTTTCTATGTCACTGAAGAACACAGTTTTGGTGGGAGAGAAGAACCACCTGAAGCATATGGGTTCCAAACCAGGAAACGGATACATGGTGAATACATCATCGGGGCACAGGAGTGCAAACGAGCAGCTTCCTGCAAGCATGTGCTTTGTGAAGCTGGCTGACATGAGCGAGGATGCCTGGACCTTGTTTCTGGAGAAGTTTCAAGATATGCTGTACCCGGCATTTGCCAAACGCAAATCTGCTACCCTAGGTCAGAGGCAGAGACAGAGGCTTGGCACGTCGTGCCAGTTTTGAGACTGAGACAGCAAACGCTTGCTGCGGTCTATATGATAAGAGGCAACTGAAGACGAAGCGTAATAAAGATTAGTAGGGTTTGGGGGTGGTGGGAGTGGAAGGATATGTTGGGGGTTTTGTTGAGATTAGATTTGGCATTTGGGTTTATATGGATTTTCCCCCGCGGAAGTTGGAAGGCGTTTGTAGTGACGAGTGAATGTAGGAGGAAAACTGCCGCCGTAAATATTCTTGGGCAATCAGCTGAGCGAGATGAGCTGAGAGTAGAATTGGATGTATTTCTTTGTATTTTTTGTTTCCATTTTTTTTTCTTTTTAATTTCGTTTTCTTTCGCTCCTTGATGGAGTTGTCGGATAAATAATTTGTAGAATGAAATCAAGAAAAGGAAGGATTATGTAAATTCGGGCCTTGTTTCAAATTACGTGTTTTCATTTCCCCTTTAAGTAGAAAGTTAGTGTTTTTATGCTTCTGGTCTCGACGTCTCGTAACTCTAATCCCCCTAGAAACAACTGAAATTGGATAAAGAAAACTAACACCGGTCCAACTCATTGCTACTTGTCGAAGCGACTCTCTTTGTTCCACTCCTTTCAAATGACGTCCCTATTTGTTGCAAAATATCCACCGATTAATATACTGAATTTTTGGTGTGCATTATTTGTCTCAATTTTAGGCATTAAACTATGCACCCAACTTTATATAATTAATTAGGTTAAATCTCAATTTACTACTCTCAAGTTTCGTGATTTTCAAACTTATAGTATATGAAGATTTTTTTTGTCCCAGAGTCATACCTAAAGTGTTAATTTTGGGACAATCTCCTACATCCGTTAGTCAGACTGTTAAGTTTCACGTTAACTGATGACGTGACGTCTATGTGGACAATGATTAAGCACCACGTGTCATTCAAAAATAGTTAAAATATTAAAACAATTAATTAAATAAAAGTATTTAAAAAAAAACCCTTCGTCTTCCCCACACTGACACTTTTTCATCCCTTCCACCCCTCCATCCCTTCTACCCCCTTCGTCTTCTCCAACCGAGCACCCCCTTCTCTCATACCCCATCACCCACCCCTTGCCTACCCGAGCCACCCTTTCTCCGATCCACTCCTCCCAACTCAAATGCTAGAAAACCCTAATTCAAAATTTACAGGCAAAATCCATTGTCTTCTACCAGTTAAAAGAACAAATTTAACAATCAAAACCCCAAAATTTGAGCACAAATCAGATAAAAAAAAGCCACCATCTGCAAGCTTCAACCTTTAAAACCCATCCATATCTTTCATTTTCTCACTCATATTTTCTCAACAGCCAAACAGGGTATGAAGAAGAAGAACCCAGCTCCTAGATTGCAGAGGAAAGCAAGAAAGAATGATCTGGGCACGAACGTCGTCCTACAAAGCGGGCACGTCTTCTGATCGTGGTCCATCCACAGGAAATTAGCTATGCCAACAAAGGAGAATCTGGAGACGCAGCTGTGGTGGTTACTGGGAAAGATGCAAAGGAAGCCAAATACAAGCCATTGACTTCCTTTGCGAAATCGAAGCTTCCCAGTGATGTTTTACAGTGCTGTCAGAATTTCAGGAGTCCTTCTCCGATTCAATCCCAGGCCTGGCCATTCTTATTGGACAGTCGCGATTTTATTGGGATTGCGAAAACTGGGTCAGGCAAGACTTTGGCTTATGTAATACTGGCTATAATGCAGGTTTTGAACAAGAGGAAGGGAATTAGGGATTTGGGGTTTGCCATCAGAGCACGAAACAAAAACACCCACTCATTATTTTTGGGAATTTCCGCGGGTCGTAAAGTTGAGGCTGTTGAAAGGTCGATGGTTGCTGAAGCTCGGGTCTTGAAGATCAACCACTTCGACGCGACATAGGTGACATAGAGGGTGATGGCGTCGGCCTTGCAGGTGATGGTGGCAGGGAACTGCTCGCAAGCCATGAAGGGGTGGAGCCGTGGAGTTGGAGGGGTGTTGGGTGAGGAAGACGAAGAGGGTTATGGGTTTTTTATTTTTATTTATTTTTTTTAAATACTTATTTTTTAAATTAATTATTTTAAGGGTAAATTATAAGGAAAACTAATGAAAAGTGCTTGAAAACTTTGAGTTTTAATGATAAGGACAAAATAAAGGGTAAAGTGAATAGTACAAGATTGACTTTTTAGTGTAAAAATGTGGTTTTTCGTTAAAGTGAACAGTACCGGATGCTTTTCGTTAAAGTTCCCTAAATTATATTGTACCAGTTAGGTTTGAGATCTATGACAACCTTATACAATATCTTTAAAATATTTCACTTTCATACCTCAAGTACTATTTTATTTCAATATAATACATCTGTCATATTTTCTATCCATTGATCCGTTATAAGCTAACGTAGTTACTATATTTGTGTCACGTGGTTGCTAAATTTATGGCACGTGGCAATTCTTTTTTATAGATTAAAATATTATAATAATTTATCCTATTAAAATAATTTAAAAAAAAAACTAAAAACCCATTCCTCCCGACCATCTCCCTCTCCTCTGCTCTCTTCACCTCCCCTCCCATCCAAAACCCACCCCACACCCACCTCCCCCGCAACCCCCACCCGTTTCTTCCACTCTCTTCACCTCCCCCAACCGATCCCTTCCTCTTCCCTTCCACTTTCTTTCTCCTTCTCCGATCTTTCCATTTCTCTCTCTGCACTCATTTTTTGCCCCCAATTTCAAAAAACCAACAAGCAATTTTTTTTCATAAACACAAATCATGGTGGATGGGGTTGGAAATTGAAACATGGAGGGAGCTGAAGAGACCAACGCAGCAGGCCCAACCTCAGCCACCTCTCATTCCTCCAAATTATTCTACGCGGCCATCAGATCAGAAACCAGCGACCCATTTGAGGAGGGTTCGCCCTTGGCGAACTTCTCCACCACCTGAGTTAGCGTCGCAACTTCGCTAAAAAATATATATAAAATGTTGACGTGGTTTAACCGTGATCGCATAAACAACAGGTCATAAAAATTGGGAGGACAGAGAATCTGCCTTCGAAAGCAAAACGTGATAAGTACCAGCACCACATGGAGAAAGGTCCCACGACACGAAAGCCATCACTTGGATAGTACACGTTTTTTGTATTTTGAGTTTCTACCCTCCGGCAGCGGATTGTTTTGCCTGCTTTTTTTCAGGGTATTTTGTTGTACGCTTCCATGCACTGTATTATTGATCCCTGATGAAACCGTGATATGGTATCGGAGCAGGCTTATTTTTCCAGCACGATTGAACTCGTATTGAAATTATGGATCGAAAACCCTAAAGTCCTGAGTTTAGACAATGAATTTGAAAACCCAACGTCATGAGTTTGGACACTTGAATCTAATCCCTGACACTGAAATCAAATTAAAAAAAAAAAAATGGATTGCTGATGCGGAGTTGCTTTACGCGTGGGCGATCAAGGAGTTGTTTCACGTGATGACGAGTACTGAAGATGTAAAGTCCTACGTAAGAAACTTGATTGTATTACTCACTATTTATATTGAATTGTATTGAGATTTTTTAGTACTATATTGATATTGATTAGTAGTGATTGACTCGACTGTCTGTAACGCTACAGATTAAAGGCCAAGTGGGCAACTTTTATTTTATGCCTAACTTAGCGGTGGGGTTTCATTGCTTTCACTACGAGTAAAGGTTCATGGTTGCTGGACTTCATCTTGAAAGAATATAGATATTGAAATATGGGTGAAGGGTTTTCAACTAACAATCTGTGAGGGCGGTCAAAGGGCTTCCCATATGAGCTGATGATGAGAATTGTTGTTTACTTAATCAGAGCAGACCCCACATGAATGGATATTATTAATGTATAATTAATAGATAGATTAATCAACTGATAATTAGTATAATTGGTCGACGGAGACTGCAATGAAAAGGAATGGAATTCGAGTTGTTGTTTATTACTATATTTGCCACTCGATTTACGATAACTAGGGTTTATGATGCAGCAAGACAAAATGATGCCATTAACAAGTGAACGGAGACAGACAAAACATGGGACTCGGACTTGTCTCGTTGCATACTAGTTATGCAGTACGTACACTTAATGAATTTTATGGGGTTACTCACGAGAGAAATTTGTCCACACTTAGGATACCAACGTGATTAGTTTGCGTTCCACCTCTGTGACATGCAGTGGAGGATATATATTGTGACCAAGGTGGTTCTAGGATTACTCGAAGTTTGAAAAATATACACGTGAAGGTCTTCTGAGGATCTTTCGAATGTTTGATGTGAGTTCCTTTTATGTCATAAAGTGTTTAATGTAATATCTGCCATGTATATTTTGGCAGCACTTGACAAGTTACATCGAGAGCACTCAACAAGTTCTCTCGATAGCACTCATCAGATTGCTTCAACATATGTCAACATATGTTAACATGTGCACAGTATTTCGCTTAATGACAACAAGCCCGTATATTGTTTGACGAAATGCCTAGTGAATAAAAAACAATTTTTTTGCGCGCTTGTTGTGTATTAAAAAATTTAGACGTTTAACACTAGACCCCCAATATTCAAATCTTAAATTCGCCATTGATTACATGACACCCCAACTCCCAAGTGCATAAAAGTTCTTCTCGTCGTTAACGATTCGACTGCTTATCTTTTTGTCAATGCAATGTTAGTCATCTGGAGCAGTTTTTCTTATTTTTCAATCAGAAGGCTTTAATTGTTGCAGATGTGTTCATTGTGTTATGTTGAAGAAATTGTCATGGGAGCCTGGAAAGCAGATTTTCAACACTAGCACGGTAGGGGGAACCCATAAGTAGTGCTTGGATTGGCTGGTTAGTGTAAGGATCAATTATATTGAGCCTTTTACTGTATTGATTGATACTTAATTATCTTTTTTTGGGTCAATTTTGTTATTGATACTTATCATATCGCTGGTTTTCGCTATTTATGTTAGTCGAACTTGAGACATTCCATTTACAAATCGAGATGAACACCAGTTAAAAACGAAATATTAGTAAGAACATTATTACAAAGAGATAATCAACCTAGAAGCAACAGAGTTGCGCCATCACAATTGACCGATCACAACTAATTATCAACTTCATAAGAAATGTGTATCCTCATTGCATCACATTACTGGAACCTTAAACTAAGTTGAAATAACTATAATTTTGAATTACCAATAAGTTAGAGGCTGCGCTGCTAACACCAGCAACCGTAATGCAGTTGCAAACGTGTCAGTCATTGACCTTATGAACCAATAATTATGATAATTAAAAGATTTTCCATATAAAAAAAAATTAAAACAATCCAATGGTTTGTTAATTTCTGCACCAACCAAATAATCATTCTTTCTTGAGTTCATAATATTTTTTGGGTCAATCTCAATTTATACGCTTATACCAAGGAAAAAAACAGAACGTAAAAAATAGAGCTGTAATTATAATACATAATTCAAATAATTGATTTATTACATTGAAAAAGCATTTAAAGTGTGTGTGTGTGTGTGTATATATATATATATATATATTGCTCTTGGTACTTAATTCAGATAAGGTTAAATAAGTAGACTTAATTAGATATGTCTCCAAGGTCTTTCTGCAAGGTTTACACATTCACTGTACCTATAACAATCCACCAGATGATCATTTGTCAGCCCTGCAGCCTGCATGAACGAGTACACAATCACGGGTCCAACGTACCGAAATCCTCTCTGGATCAAATCCTTGCTCATGGATTCTGCTTTCGGGGTCCTCAGAGGAACGTTTCTCGGGTATCTGAATCGGTTTATGACCGGTTTGTGATTCACAGAACTCCACACGTAGCTGCTGAAAGATCCAAACTCCCTTACAATCTGCATTGATTTAGATAGCTAATTAAGTTTCGGTACAGTGTTAGCAACTAATTAAATAATTAATATCATGTTTAAGTTTTCTTGTTTGCCTTCAATATGCATTTGGCATTGTCTATAATGCACCTCACTTTGCAGTCTACCAGCATTATTTCTTTGTTGGAGGTTATTTCTGCAATCTCCTTCTCCCCCATTTTCGCAACTTTGTTCGGATCAAATCCAGAAAACGCTTCCCTGAGTCACAAATTAAATCATAAGATCATTGAAATAGTACTCAAAGTTTCATAAATTCTAATGACATATGTAGAAAAGAGCTAGGTTACCTGAAAAGCTCCCTTCTTTTCACAATTTCAGTCCAATTGTGGTCCATCAACATACCAGACAGTGCAAGCAGCTCAAACAATTGACTGCATGCATATAGATACATTTATTTAATTAAATACCACTTAATTTTTTATTAATTAGACTTGATCGTAAGAGTCTCGATGGACTTACTTGTCATCGTATGCTGGAACTCCCCAGCATTCGTCGTGAAACACTAGATAAACTTTATCTGTTGTAATGAAATAATAGGATCAATGCATGTCTTCATTAAAATTCTTTATTTACTCCAGCAAAACAATTTATTTTATTTTATGCGTACATATTTTATGATAGTTTTATCTTGTGGAGAGTGGACAAGTTCAAACATGACACAATTACACAACTTGATACTCACACGAATAAAAGACTCGACGAGTCGACGTGTATATGTTCCGTGTTGCAGGGTGAGCCAAGAAAAAAACGAATATATTTTTATTAAACCTTTTGAACACGATCCATTGCCAAACGCTATGCAGTAGATAATAAAAAACTTAATTGTAGCATGCAAAGAATGATTTTTTAGTCAAAATGGTTCATGAAAGTGACATAATTCCTCATTTTAATCTATGACAATGAAAATTTATAGAAGTGGTTTCTGAATTTGTCCACCGTAAATCATTTTGGTCTTTTCGTTAAAAATCTGTTAATCTTCTTGTTTAATTGGTCACGTGAACGACTATGTGACCACCTTTTCAACAATACTTTTTTCAAACTAACCCTCCAACTTAATGAGGATATTGATAAATTTTTAATGGAATGACCAAAATGATTTACGATGGACAAACTGAGGGACCACTTATATCAATTTTTAATGTCAGAGATCAAAACAAAGTGAATAATTATGTCAATTTCAATGACCATTTTAACTATAAAACCTTAAAAGAATTTTCTAATATGTTCTATAGTCAACAAAATGTTAATTGCCTCATAATCGTTGTCATCTGTATTATTATCTTTCAGAATATACTTGCATATATCATTAGCCATGACTTTTAAGTATTCATATACGTACGACACCTTGTTGTAACGTCAACTACTTTGTAGGGTTATGGAATCCTCGATGACTTTGTTGTTTAATATGTTTACTATCATTTTCTATAGATTCCACGTACCAACTCCCACAACCATTTTCCTTTTCCATTTTTCTCCAGAGCAAGTCATAAAATATTTTTTCGAAGGATGGAATATAGGAAATAGGAGTCCCATCGTGGTCTCCGATGAAATTGAAACGATACGATAAAGGTTAGCATGGCTTATGTGCAAAAATGACACGCATATATACTTCGAGAAAGCATGAAAATATATAGAAAGCAAAGTTTTCTGCATTATTTGATGAAACAATAAAACTCACCACTATTCTTTGTTATCCAATTGCATCTCCTCAACTCCCCATCATTAGCATCCTGAGCCAGACTAATCTGCTGCTGGGCAAGTTTAGCCACTGGAGAATTATACTCTCTTCTTGGAGGTGGTTGTGCAAAGAAGCGGAAAGCCGCGGAAATCTTCTGATCCAGTGGGAAGTTAGAATCAGTGAGAAAAGAATCATACGAGGTCTCCGACAAGGAGAATGACAAAGAAGAGGACAGGGATAGAGATGAAGTGCTCTTATGAAGGCCAATTGGGTAAATTCTCTTGAGGAGTTTAGAGCTACTGTTCGTCTTCTCTCTCTCTTTTACAACTTTGTTCTCCTCCAGAAGTACATGTCTTCTTACAATATTTGCTTCAGACATTGTTAATTACTTGCAGAAGACGTAAGGAGATAAATAGAAACAAATAACTTGAATGGAGTAGCTATGTTGTAATGGGCTTAGATTTTATAAGAGTTTTATGCTTTGAGTTGGTTTGGTGAAATGTGAGTTTCATGCATAAATGTCTATTGCCATTTTTTCTCCTTGGTTTACAAGAAAAATTGGAGAGGCAAACATTAATTTTTCTTTAAAAGGGCTTCGAAATTATTGATCCCCTGTGATTTATATAGATCACCTGAAATATTGAAATAAGAACAGAAAGAAAGAAAAAAGCACACCTGTGAATGAATGAAACTGTTAACCTAATGGAGCTATTCCCTAATATGTACTTAGAGATATTAATTAATTGGTACTTCTCTCCTTTTTCTCATGGGATTACTTAATGTTTCTAAGGATGTAGGGGCTTTGTTGCTTAGCCAATAAGTAGGGGAATAATAGAACCGACTAAAAATTGGTAATTAAAAATAGAGAGATACTACACGAACAATATACCGTATGTAAACCACAAGTCAAGTCCATTTTTATCGTTTGTTTGGTATCCTCTTGTACCGTTTTCGATTCAAAATTTGCTAAGTGATTCAATTTGTGCACTATTCCTATAATTACAAATGTTCTAAAAATCTCCTTTTGCCACCTAGACCCTGCCTAGAGGCTAGGCAGCTGGCCACTACCTCGATTAATTCCTAAGCATTTGAATATTAAGAAATGATGCCTAGACCCGTTTAAGCGTTCGCCTAGCCCGCCTAGGTCACGACTTCCACTTAGACAGAAAATCGATAACTTTCATTTTGTATTTTATTTTTTTAATAAAATGTAATAGACTTGCTGAATACTTGAATGAACACTCAGTATATGCTTGTTCCCTATGGTTTCACTATATTCTAAAACTTTATAATCTATATGTTATTTTGTGCAATTTATGTACCCAACACAATTATGTGTCTTTTAAGTATAAATAGGTACTTATTGGTACAATATATAATAGATTTACTTAAATCCGCCTAGTCATTGCCTAACCGCTAAGTCCTAACCTACCTCCCAACTAGCACCTAGCATCATTTAGAACATTGTCACTCATTTAGCAAACCATGAACCTATCTTGTCCTCACATTACTTTCTGCAAATAAATCTCTCTTTTTTTTTCTTTTTTTTTTCTGAAAAGGTGAAGATTGAAAAGAGCAGTTTCTAATAAAAGAGGATTGTCTTCATCATCAAAATGCAGTGAAAATGCTTTGTAGTTGTGGTGTGTGTTTCTGGGAGGCAGATTGTCTGCCCTTCTGTTATGGTGCTCTTTTCATCTCCTTATATTTATGCGGTCACCGTTAAGTCATGTCAACATTTTATATTTCTATTACTTTTTGTCTTATTATCTCTATAAAAAAATTCAATATAAAATGTTTACGTGGCTTAACTGTGACCGCACAAATAAAAGTGGATGGGAACGGGGCAGACAATCTGCCTCCTTGTTTCAGAGAGCAAGCAAGTAATGGGATTAGGGATGGGCAAATAAATACCCATTGGTTATGGGTAACCGCGGTTACCCACCCATTTAAATTAAACGGTTACGGTTATGGGTAACCGTTTAGATAAATAAACGGTTATGGGTATAACCGTTTACCTGTGAAATTTAAATGAGCGGTTATGGGTATTAACCACGGTTATAAATAGGTAACCGTTTACCCATTTATTTTATATATGTAAAACTAACACAAACCATGTTCTCGATCCAATAATACTTAGAACCCAATAAATTAGCAAGGAATTCATCGGTCATTCTCTCAATAATACTATTACAGGAATGATGATTCTCATCATCAAGGAATTGGCCAAATTAATTTAAATTCCTTGCGGATAACCGTGAAATTGACATAAATGTCTTCTAAACAATTTTTGTAACCCAATAATACGTAGCAAATATTATATTTACCTTCATTGTTAATAGTTAAAAATATTGTCTGTAAACTATTATTTCAATTATTGGAATGGTATAAGGACTTAAAAAATTAAAATATGGAAATGTATGATGAATGTACCTATAACGGTATTTAATTGTCAAAAAAAAAAATTATGACAATTTTTTTTTTAATTTTCAAGTTGTTAAAAAACATGTAGACGGGTGAAAAAAGGGTAATGATAAAAAAAAAAAGATAAACGGGTTAAAAAGGATAAATGGGTAAACGGCTATTAAACGGTTACGGTTAAATGAGTATGGTTAACCGTTTATAAACGGTTATGGATATGTGTATAACCGTTTAGGCAATTAACCAATGGGTAAACGGTTATGCGGGTATGAGCATAAACGGTTATGGGTAAATTAACCGCGGTTACTTGCCCGCATAACCATTGCCCATCCCTACATGGATGATGTGATGTAGGACGTCCATGCCATTCTTTACTCCTAAATTCTTTTTAGTTGTGGTGTTTGTTTCAGAAAGCAAGCAAGTCATGGGATGATGGGCCATTCTGTACTAAATTCTTTGTAGTTGTGGTGTTTGTTTCAGAGAGCAAGCACGTCATGGGATGATGCGTCCCTCCCGATCTCTCTCTCTCTCTCTCTCTCTCTCTCTCTCTCTCTCTCTCTCTCTCTCTCTCTCTCTCTCTCTCTATGTACCTGTTGTGTTAGCCCTAAAGGACTTGGATTGTCTGCCCTCTAATTTTGGTGCTCTCCCCGTGCCCTTCTGTTTTTGTGGTCACGGTTAAGACACGTCAACATTTTATATTACTATTTCTTTTTGTTTTATTATTTTTATAAAAAAATAATATAAAATATTAAAATGGCTTAACCGTGACCACACAAAACAAGAGGGCACGGGGAGGGCACCGAAATGGGAGGGCAGACAATCCAAGTCCAGCCCTAAAATCTAAATTTTGGGACCAAACAGTAGCTGGAGTTTCAAATAGGGTTTGAGACGTACTTGTTGCCTGCACAAAAAAGCTTCCTACTCTCTCTCACTCTCTCCCTTTTTACTTCGTCAAATTTTCTTCATCTTGGGGTTGGGGGTTGCTTGGGACACAGTGGTATCATTATCCATGGAGCAAACTGGGGAAGTGATGGGCCAGCTTGCCATTATTTCTGGAGTCTTGGAGGCATTGGATCATAGACAAAGTTATTCAGGTGGTGGGATTTTGTGATCATTTGTCAATTTTGATATATGTAGTGTTAGATTTTTAATTTTAAGTATTTTTATTCAACGATATATTTATATTAAAAATAAAAATTTAGTTCCAATCACTTCTCATAAAATACTATTTGGTCAGAAGTATATTAATGTCAACAAAAAACTTCTCTAGCTAAAAAATAATAATAAATCAATCTTTGGTCAGCAAAAGCTTACAACCTCGACGACGCCGTTTCGTAGTGTTGGTTACCATCCTTCAAAATTGCCGGGAAGCCAACGGCTTCCTTAAACCCTAGCGCCTCCCTCCGCCGCCGTTCCATCATTAAAGCTTGGATTCTGATCCAACATCGAACCAATCTCTGGTCTCTGTCATTTCTATTAGCTTTCCAATTTTCCCAGGAACCAAACAGGGCTCTTGCCTTTTCATGCTTAAACCCTAATCCCCAATTCATCATCACATCCACAAATGGAAGCCCTCACATTTCCTACAAAAATCTCAAATTCTCGCTCCCCTCTCTTGCCTCATCTTCACTAAACCCTCGGCATCCGCTGCAAAGTTCGACGACGAGCTTGCCGCCGCCGCCGTCCCAAATCCTACAAGCACCGTCTCCGAAGTCATTGCCGGCTTGGGAATCTTTGGTTTGAGAAAATTTTTGGGTAATCGTTATTTTAGAACCTGCATCTCGAAGCTGAATCAGTCAGAGGTGGATTTGATTATTGAAAGTTTGAGTCTTGAGAGCCCGGATTTGGCTTTCGGGTTCTTCAATTTTTTGAGGAATGAGTGTGACTTACGGCATTCGAGGATTGCGGAGTTTATCGTGCTCATGTATTAGCGGCGAATAGGCAGTTTCAGGAGTTGCGTTCGGTTGTAAAGCAAATGGTGGATGAAGAAGGTACGGTTTGTAAGTGCTTCTTCTATCATATAGCTTGCAGCTTGGTAAGATTATGTAAGGCAGATAGATTTTCAGGCCGAAATGAGTTATGAGGTTTTGTTGAAGTTATTGAATAGCTCAATTTTTTTATTTTGTTACTTACTTTCTGTGAGCTAGAAGAAAAATGATGGTAGTTGTTTATGCTTGGATTGGTGTTTTAGGCCACATTACCCTATGCATTTAGTCGGTTTTTTCGGTGGGCAATATTTTTCGCATTTTGGGATTTATATATTTGCTGTGATTTGTGAAAGGCCCTGGTTTTGCACCTTCACTTTGTGAGCTGCTCTTGCGTAGATTCAGGGACTGGGACTCAATTAGTGTGGTGTGGGATACGTTGGCGTTTGCTTATTCGAGATCTGAGATGGTTCATGATGCCCTGTCTGTTCTTGCTAAGATGAGAGATTTGAATTTGAAGGTTTCGACATCTACCTATAACTGCCTGTTGCATAATTTGAGGCATACAGATAACATGTGGAATGTTTATAATGAAATAGAAGATACTGGAACTCTGGAGAGTGACTACACTACTTCCATACTTATAGATGGACTGTGCCAGCAATCCGGTCTGCAAGATGCAGTTTCTTTCCTCATGGATGCTGAAAGAACGGAGACTGGGCCTTCTGTTGTTTCTTTCAATACCATCATGTCTTGGTCCTGTAAATTGGGTTTTGTGGATGTTGCGAAGTCGTTTTTTTTGTATGATGTTCAAGTATGGACTTGTTCCTGATTTGTACAGTTATAATATTCTGATTCATGGGTTATGTGTAGCAGGTTCATTGGAAGAAGCATTGGAGTTCACCAAAGACATGGAGAGGCATGGGGTACAGCCTGACACGGTAACTTACAACATTCTCTGTAAGGGGTTTCATCTACTTGGTTTGATGAGTGGAGCTCGCAAGGTCATTCAGCAAATGTTGGTTAAGGGGTTGAATCCGGATCATGTTACATATACAATTATGATATGTGGCCACTGCCATGTTGGCAACATTGACGAAGCCCTTAAGTTGCGGAAAGAGATGATTTCAAGAGATTTTCAGTTGAGTGTCATTGTTTACAGTGTACCACTCAGCTGTATGTGTAAAAGTGGACGGGTAGAAGAAGCATTGGGATTGTTGTATGAGATGGAAGCTGTTGGCTTGGAACCAGATCTGACAACATATTCAATCCTCATTCATGGTCTATGCAAGCAAGGAGATGTACAAAGGGCTTGGGAAATATATAGAGAAATGTACAGGAAGAGAATCATTCCTAATTACTCTGCACACCGCGCTATTCTGTTAGGTCTGTGTCAGAAAGGGGATATTTATGAGGCAAGGAAGTATTTTGATCATCTGACGACAAGGGCTGTGACAGAGGATATTGTGCTGTATAATATTATGATGGATGGGTATGTAAAACTAGGTAATGTTGCAGAAGCCATACAATTATATAAACAAATAATTGAGAAGGGAATAAATCCTAGTACTGTCACTTTCAATACTCTTATTCATGGTTTCTGCAAAACTGGGAAACTAGTCGAGGCTCGAAGGATGTTGGATAGCATCGAGCTGCATGGATTGCTACCAAGTCCAGTTAGTTATACTACTCTTATGAATGCTAACTGTGAACAGGGAAACATCAAGGTTATGCTTGAATTACTTCGAGAGATGGAAGCAAAAGCTGTAGAACCAACTCATGTATCTTACACGGTAGGTATTAAAGGACTTTGCAAACAGGGGAAGCTGTGGGATGCTGTTCACTTAGTCGAGAAAATGTATGCTCAGGGCCTAACCCCGGATCAAATCACATATAATACTATCGTCAAATGTTTCTGCAAAGCTCAAGACTTCGAGAAAGCTTTTCAGTTGCACAACGAGATGCTGATGCATAATCTTGAGCCAACTCCTGTTACATATAATTTCCTTATCAATGGTCTTTGTGTATATGGTGGCCTAGAGGATGCTGACAGGCTACTGGTTTCTCTCGATGACGGCAATATCAATTTGACAAAGTTTGCTTATAGCACGTTAATAAAAGCACATTGTGCAAAGGGTGATGTATATAGGGCTGTGGGACTCTTTCTTCTAATGATGGAGAAAGGATTTGAGATCTCCATCAGAGATTATAGTGCTGTAATTAATAGATTGTGCAAAAGGTGTAGGATAACTGAAGCAAAGTACTTTTTCTGTATGATGTTATCTGATGGGATTTTTCCTGATCAAGAACTCTGTGAGGTGATGCTTAATGTTTTCGATCAAGGTGGTGATTTTGATTCAGCAGCGGAACTCCTTGCTGAGATGATCAAATTTGGCTTTCATCCTGATTAATTCCTTGGGAAAGTTATATCTTTTAGCATCGGGCGATTTGACCATTGGGAAAAGCTGTTTACTGGCTCATAAAGAAAGTTCCGTTCACAAGGTATAACATTCTATTAATCTCTCTCCAGTTTCTCACAAAAAGAAAGATAAATTATTTCATATCCATCCAGAAACGAAAATTAAGTCAGAAGATCTTAGGACCCCTTTCCTAGTTCTTGTAAGCATAAACTCTAACAGTTCATCAATCTAAAGAACATGGATACAACCAATTAAATCACAACTCCACTAAACCAATAAATGAACAAAAACACGAGAAAAGCTCGAGAACTTACCTGCAGAATTGGAACCAGATGAAGAAGCCATTGCGACTTCACAGCTTACTGCCTTCTCCTCTTTTACAAATCTCAATGGTTCTTCCAGACAATAGGACTTGGAACTCGATATAATCGTATATTGCAAGAGCAGTGGCATAAGCTTTTATAGCACTCCTTTTGTCATTCCCTATTAGAATAGACTTAGGATTCAGACATCACAATTGATACAACATATCAATCCCAAACATGTTCTATTACCGAGTTCTAATCCCACAAGGATTATTCAGAATCTCACAAAACTTATTCCACAAGGAAACCAAATAAGTTAAGGCTTTTGACCAAGACTTTTCCATATCAATCTTAAACAAAGAACTGATTCCTTCCATAACTCATACTCATAAACTTACAGTTCTTTCATATAACACTAGGTTATTGTTGATTAGCCGTACGAGCCAATTATAATTCTTATTCATTTCATCATTTTTGTGGGTATTCTAATTGTAAATTGCCAACCAAACCAATTTTATTTTTTTCCAGAGGGCAGCTGAGATTCAATTGCTAAAACAATTTGAGGAGCGGGAAAAGCGTCTCAAACCTTTGCTTTCTTCCTCTTAAACGAACACTCATCCGATTTTCAGGTAATGTTATTGTTCACCCTTCCTTGAGTTATATCCATTATTTTCATTTTCTTGGCACAAACAAATGCAAAGTACATTCAAGAACAATACTGATCAATGACGTTCATTAACTAGATTCTTTTCTACATGGTTATGATTTTTATGACTTAAGCAGAAATCTTAAATTAATTGTTTACTCTCGTTGCAGGTTTACAACTTAGGAGCTAGGATGTTCTTGGTGAAGATAAGGCTTACATAGCTGAAAGTTGAAACCAAGAGTTCTTATACAAGAGTGCCGGCTAACCAGGATGCTTCTACGCATGCAGTCCTGCATTTCAGGTGCGCCCAAGAGTTACTTTAAGATCCTTGTGGAGTCTCGGGAAAATGCTGAAAGAAATGATCCCATCGCTGAAACCAAGAGTTGTCCTAAAAGTAGAAAACTATCTACTGGATTTGTGTGACAATCTTCTCGTTAGTATTTGAAAGATGAATGGGAATCATGTTGCCCCGGTGACAATGAGGGCGGTTGCCTTTCTTTGCATGTAGTAACCCATGTGCGTCTCAGTCTTTCGCCTCATTAACAACCAGCAAGGGGAGGCTAGTTCCCTGAGTTCTTATGGAGGTTAGTTTCTTGAAGAGAGTTTCAAAGAATGCACCACTCCATTTGCTTCTGCTTCTCTTTAAGTCTTACTTTCCCATGTTTTCAGGACAATCGAAAGAGACGCGGCTAAGGTGAATTTATCATCGGGCTCTTCTGCCTCATAGGCAAGAACAAAATACCATTCAATGTGATCTGAATAATAATTATTTACTGAAAAGTTAAAGAGTCTCTTGGACTTTGATACGAAATGTATGAAACGGTAATATAAATAATGGTATTCTTTATTGAATAACCATTTTTTATTGGGAACTTTAATGAAAAGCTTCCGGTACTGTTTACTTTAACGAAAAATCACATTTTTACACTAAAAAGTCAATCATGATATTATTCACTTTGCCTTTTATTTTTGTCCTTATCGTTAAAACTCAAAATTTTTAAGTCATTTTCATTAGTTTTTCTTTATTTATTCCCCAAATTCCTATTTATTCTCGAAGCTGCCATTAGCACTCCTCATCGATCTTTTGTGTACTAGTCTATTTTCACCCCATTTTAATTTGGCCTAACTTTTATAATCTTTAAAATTTTTAAATTTTTTAAATTTGACTGCACAATTAATCTCACTTCAGTATTGCTACATCAAAAGTGATTACAAGGAGAATTTATTAATAAAAAATACAACATGTTAAGGTGGATATGAAGTCAAACCTTGACCGTTAAAAAGTCATAAAAAAATATGAGATTAATTGTTGTTGTCAACACAGGTTTGATAAACATTTTAATGGAGCAGTCCTGTAAGCCAGATGATTTGGTAAATGTAACAATGCGGTTCATAATGTTGATTACCAATACAACATTGAGTGTGAAACGGGAGAGAGTGTTAGATTATCAATGCCTCCTTTTTTCGAATCTGGTTCTTTTGGGGTTATAGTTGATGGTTGTTTAGCAATTCCATCCATCTCTACTACAGAACCAGACACAAAAGTTTATTCTGTTCCAACTCCTTGCGAATTAAACAATTAAAAAAAATACACAGTTAATAATATGTGGAATCATGGAATTCTTTAAAATTTAATCTAATCGATTATAAATTAGACTTTTTTTGTGTTTTAATATATAATTTAACACGTATTCTATTTATAGATAATGTCGTTCCAAACTTTATTTTAGTATTTCTATTAAATAAGGGCATTTTAAGGAATTTTTAACACACATTTATCGTTGTGTTTGGCAACCACGTATACACATTTAAGAAATTTCAAATTTGCAAGAAAGTGAGGTGGGGAAATAAAAAAAAAACAATTAAGAAAGAGTGCAGAGTAGAATTAGAAAGTTGATAATTAATTAGTACATTATTGAAATTAGTATATAATTCTCAATTCATTAATCATCAGTTATTCTTAGGAGGGTGGTGCCTTGGTGAATTGTAGTCCTGACTAAAAGCTACAAAACCTGCATGTTCATGATCATGATCGACTATTTTCTCAGAAAATCGACTTGCAGTAGTACTTTGTCTGCATTCCACATTGCCACATGAAGATTGTCCTTCAAGGTCGGAGCTGTTGGACCTCCGAGTTCCACTTATACCGCCTTCTGCCACTACTTTAACGTCCTTCTCTAACCTCGCTGCTGCCATTTTCCTTCCTCCTATCCTCTTATCCTCCTTAGTTGCAGTAGGAGGACTAACCACTTGATGATGATCAATATCTTCACCCTGTACATATAATATATAAGTTATAATCAATAAATGTATACGACTCTAGGTATTGTTGAGGATAAATTGCAAATCATACAACTAGTATGGCAAATAATACAGTTTGGAGTGCTATTTAATTACATCAAAATGCAAGTCTCAAAAAATACATGTTGTATGTACCTTCAGAATCGAAACATCATTTGGCACAACAGCATTTTCGCCTTCAAATTGTAGAAAATCGAAATGTTATTTCCAATAGTAAGCTAAAACATTCTGTAATGTAATTCAATAATATTACGGAAAAAATGAATGACAATACAGAAGAAGAAGAAGAAAGAAAAGCAGGTACCTAGTTGATGACGGGAATTTGCAGAGATATTCCATATGCTTGCAGCAGAAACAAGCACAAACACCAAGCAATAAGAAAATTCCATAGGACCCAAATCTCAGTCTAAGCAAGAAGAATAAATGGAATGATCTTATGTATTGGCACTTCAGTGAGTCAGTGAATGTGTTAAATCGGCAGGATTTCAAAGAGAGTCAAATGTGTAAACCCAAGTCAAATATATATATAGGTGGCAGCAACACACACACACACACACACATACATACCCTAAGTCAAGTCAAACTAGCTAGAGGACCTAACTTGGGTTTCCAAAAACGTACCTATTTTATGAATATTTTAATTAGTAATGCTGTGGCCAAGAACACCTATTACAAATAGTACATGAAACATCGTGTCAACCCATGTGTATTTTGATCTGGGAACGAAGATATCGAAGCATTTGAGAAGAATTTGATGCGTGTTTTCGAAATTTCAGAAGAAAAAACTAACTGATCGCATATATATATTTTTAATTTCAAGGGGAAATGCATAGTTAGAGGAGAAACGTAGTAACATAACGTGGAACGGAAGCTTCGGACGTTAAGTGTTTTGTGCTTGTCTGGTGTCTGCCGCCATATACACGTACATCGAAGAACTAGCTTGACCTAATATTTTGCATGCCGAGGTTGGCAAAAGCTAAACCCTAATTCCTCAATTCCATGTCTACATTAATACATGACTTTTGGTAGGCTACTATTCCTAATACCTAGTAACGACTAACAATGAATATATGTTATCAGTTATAATCCAAATCCTTATGTGTTTGGTTGGTGAGAAAATAACTAGGATTGAAAATGATAAATCATTTATTTTCTCATATTTGAAAGTTTAGACTCTAAAATTTGTATGGAAAGGTGTAACAAATGCCAAAACGAAGATGCTTATCAAATTATAACTCTAATTTTCTGCACCAATTTTATCTCTAGTCTCAGTGGTGGAGCTTCATGGAGGGATAGACAAATTTCGGCTCATACTATTTTTTAGTTTTATATTTCTAATATTTCCAATGGGCATTACCTATTTCAATCCCAATGTTAATCAAAACCTCCAGCCTTACATCCAACGTCCTAGCTAGTGGTGTAATAACTGATCACCATGGTCTCACAAAATCATGAGTTTGCATATTCTAAATATTTTAACCATAATTATTGTTTTTTTTTGTTATTTAAATAATGTAACATATGCAGAAAAAAAAAACCCAAAAACACTGCATTGGATCAAATTAAGAGAATAAGAAACATCCATATATATATATATGCGCTGCATTTAGTAGTTTTTTGAATCACTACTCTCTTTGCATATAATTAAGTGCTCGCAAATATGTTCAGAACATATGGACTTGTGTTAGGGTTTAAGAACTAATTAATTAGAATATAATTAAGGTGTTTCATCGATCCAACGAAGTCTTTCACTGGGTGTCCCTCGTCTAAAGTGCAACTCTCATTTGTTTTTAACTTTTACCCTAGGGATAGCAACTCATCAAACAACCTCTAAATATGTAAATTTCTCCAGGGTCGGAATTTGTGCAAAATGTTAAGTGGGTGCATGGTATTTTGCGTATAGCCAGCCACAATCATGTGCTGCATGCCACCAAATTCTATAGCTTTATTCAATGAAACAATATAATTTTTGCATGAATGATATAATTCTCAAACAGTAAAAATTGAAAATTGAAATATAGAATTATAGAACCTTACCGGTTATCAGTTGTTTTTGCTAATGCTATTTACACATCTTTTTTTATCATTTACACATCTTTGTAATTTTTGTCTATTAATCTTCTTCAATTCATTCGATCGGATGACTAGAAATTAAGAGAGATATGTAAAAGTAAAACTGAGTATGCGGATAGAACCACCGTTGCAAGATGCATGGTACAAGCCAGTAGAAAAGGAATTGATGATTTCAACGTTAATTAGGTCTACATTGGTTGAAGAATCATTAAATATTAGATCAAATAATTAGGTACCATGTATCATTGAAATTCATGAATTAAATTTTCGCTTTTCTGTTTATGTGAATCCATGCATTTATGTATTTGCTAATCTTCTAGTCAAGTAAAAAGTTGATTATTGCTAAGGGAGGGAAGAGGGTTCAAAACTATTACAATAATTTAGAGGGTGGAAAGTTTGGAACCCGAGACGCATGAGTGGAAATCCAACACTCTATCTACTAGAATATTGGACCGCATGCAAAATAAAAGTAAATTAAACAAGTGAAAATAGTTTAATTCCTTGCATTTGAAATATTATAACACATATTCTTATGAAGGTGATTTAGTCTTTAAAAGGGTAGGGATTTCACAATTCCGTTTTCTTTTGCACCCTTCTTCTTATTTTTATTTCGTAATTTTCTTTTGATTTATCTAATTTCAAATTTCAAATGCTAGAAAACAGAGAGGTGATTGCATGATGAGAAAAAGAGAATGTAAAAATTACTTTTATTTATCTCGTCAGAAATAAATTATAGCTCAAATAGTTAAAATCATTTACACTTATTCTAATGGGGTGTGCTATCCACACACCCCTTTTTATTTCTCACACACCCCTTTTTAATTTCTATCCATTGATCTCCTTCACTTCATTCGATCCAACGGCCAAAAATTAAAAGGGTGTGTGAGAAGTAAAAAGGAGTGTGTGGATATCACATCCCATTCTAATATCGCTTGTATCGGTGATATCCTCATCTTGTTTGTGTTTGGGCTGATGGGCCTCGTTATGCATAGTAGTATTTGGGCCTTGATAGGTGTAAAAGTGAGTTGTGGTAAAAGTAAATAATAGTCCAATATGCAATCATTTGATGTTCCCTCGGCCATCCCCCACCCAGCCACCCACTCATTTTCTTTTGCTTATTTTTCATCAATTACCCCAGAAATTCATCATTCATTTCACTTTTGCATTTTGGCTCTCTCAAATTTTAAGTCGGCTGGGTTGGTCTGCAATGGAAGTCATAAGTTCATAATTAACTGGAATTCTGTGGATTTTTTTAAGAGCAAACATTCAAAATAAATTTTTATTCAAATTAAATATTTCTACCTAAAACATCTCACTCACAAATAATTTTTTATTTTTTTAAAGAACATATTTGCCAACAATTCATTCATTTCCCATTGCACAATGCTTGATTACTCCAGGATGAGTAGGAACTCCTACTCGAAACTCTACTTGTTTGAATAATAGAGCTTTGTGTTTATAATTAGAACCGTTTATAATATGAATCATTATGTAAAGATCACCACTACAAAAAAATAAATTAAAACTATGGCTGTTTAGTCAATCTATTGTAGCAAATACATAGACGATTCGTAATGCTTTTACTAATTTCGTTATTCTATTTGTATATAGTTCGATGACCAAACGACCTTAGTTTTAATTAATTTTTTGGAGAGACAATCTTTATAAAGTGATTTATAATATGAACGATTATGATTATAAATACGAAATTTTATAAATCGGCAACAAACAATTTTGAGTATACTCCTATTCATCCTTTCAGTAGCCAAATATTATTCTTTCCCATTTATTTCAAAGAAATCAACGTATCACAATCCATTTATTAGTTGTAAAATGGCCTCGTTGATTTTAGTTTTACGAAAATAAATTCAATGGATGATTTTGAGGCAATTGATTTGCAAAAGTTTTGCTCTTTCTTTTTTTTTTTTTTTTTTTTTTCCCTTTGATTTTCTTTTTTTGTTGTCCCGTACGATTATCCGACAAGAATTCCTTGCTCTATATCTCTTTGTCGTGCCCTTAAAAACTTTCTCTCTTAAAACAGGAATTAATTCAAACACTTTTATCTCTAAAAACCCAAATGGAAAACCTTTTTTTCCTTTTCAAGAGAATTCAAACACAAATCTTTTAAAGCTGCATGCTTTAAACTCCTATATGATTCAAATATTCTCATAAACTTTACCATGCACTACAATTCTCTCCAGACCGCTTAAATAACACCCTCTGTCAAAAAAATTCAACGGATCAAAAAATGGGGTCTGCAACATCGTCTATGGCTGCAAAGTTTGCATTTTTCCCACCGGACCCTCCGTCATACGACACGTACGTCGACGAACCAACGGGGAAAATGAGGATCTCCGATGTTCTTCCCCGAGACGACGTTGACGTGCTGAGGCTGAGCACAAAAAAAGGGAATGAGATTGTGGCCATGTATGTCAAAAATCCATGTGCTTCACTCACTGTTCTTTACTCCCATGGAAATGCTGCTGATCTTGGTCAGATGTACCACATTTTCACTGAGCTTAGCCTTCATCTGGGTGTCAATCTCATGGGGTCAGTCTATATATATTATATCAGTTTTTCATATATTTTTTTCTTCTAATATTTTCCGGAAGAGATTTATATGCAGAATTATTCATTTTTGACATTTAAATTAAATAAATCAATCGAAAATCATCTCGTTGTTTCTATGTTGCTTATCCAGATTAGTTTTGATTTTTTTTTACTTGTGCTATATTTGCAGGTACGATTATTCTGGCTATGGACAATCTTCTGGAAAGGTATAATCTGCCTATAGCTAGCTAGTTCCTATATAAATTTCTGTAACTAAATCAATTGTGTCAAATCCAGTGTTTAACTGAACACGTGTCACTATTTGACATGACCTAATTTGGCATGTTCTGAATCCCGATTATTTCGTAAAAAACTGTTTGTTTACTTCTTTGTTTTGGATTGGGAAAAACAACAGTACCATAGCAATTTGATGGTCCCAAGTTTATGGATAGATTACTTCCATATCCCGGGGGTGAATCCCCTCTTTTTTTCGCTCGTCAGTTAGGTAGGACTAGTGAGAAAGTGAAAGAGAAGAGGGCACATATCCGGGACACGAGAGGTTATTTCTCCGATTTTGTACCATGTTGATGATAATGTGCCTTTTACTATCAACTAGCCAAGTGAGCAGGACACATATGCAGACATAGAGGCAGCATACAAATGCCTTGAAGAGAAGTACGGTATAAAGGAGGAAGATGTCATTCTGTACGGACAGTCAGTTGGAAGCGGACCTGCTTTGGATTTGGCCGTTCGTTTGCCTAACTTGAGGGCTGTTGTTCTTCACAGTCCAATATTGTCGGGCCTCCGAGTAATGTACCATGTCAAGAAAACATTCTGGTTTGACATTTAT